GGGGGGGGGGGGGGGGGGGGGGGGATTTTTTTACTGTTATAATATCCAACCTCAGATTTTTTCTTCGTTCCTTGATCATGAAGTGTGATTTTTCTTGCTCTGGTGAATTTTGATGCCAACCTCTCTCTCTCTCTCTCTCTGTTCTTCTTTGATTGCATCTCTTTTCTTTTTCGTTTTGTTTTTCTGGGTGTGGATAGGTTGTGAAGTTGTTATTTGTCTTATAAAAATTAGGCAGTGTCCTTGCTCTCACATGCATATATATATATATACATGCAGATTTGAATTTCTTTATGTTTTTTTTACTAGAACGCTATTCATTTTTTTTAGTTTTGTCTTATTTGGTCTTTTCAGTTTCATATTTGCCCCGACTCTTGTCTACCTGGTTTTAGGATCAAGAAGTTAATTGATGTTGAGGCACTGGGACTATCACGATTAGCAGTTATCGTGCTCGACATGCATGCAGATGTTAAAGGCTATTCATTGTTCACACTTCCTCAAATCAGGTTCGACTGTTTGTTTTATTCATCTCTCTTCCCATCTTCCTTTGAGTGATGGTGCTATTATATTTATTTTTCTGCCCCCATGAACTTCGCTATCAACTAGTGTTTATTAATGTTTCTGATAATATCAAGGCTCTGTTTTGGTGAACTATTTTTCAAAATATTTCTTACGTAAAAAATACAAAAAAAGTTACGTTTCGTTTGCAAAAGTGGCAAATAACTTTTTGTTTTTTTATCTCTTTTTTGTCTTTCGTGATTGCTCGCCTCCTAAGAGTGACCATGTGGATAGTTACTACATCTATGCACATAAGTATTCATTAAGATGCTCATATGACTTTTGGCACATTTATGCTCATAAATATGCATGAAGATGCTCATATATTGCTTTTGAAAAACAGTCGTTAAGCATTGTTACACTTAGCTTTGATTTTACGTCGAAAAAAATNACATATGCATGAAGATGCTCATATATTGCTTTTGAAAAACAGTCGTTAAGCATTGTTACACTTAGCTTTGATTTTACGTAAAAAGTCACTTTTTTTACATTTCATGGAAACGTTCACAATGACGAAGTGACCTTGTGAAAATAGCCCCCAGGACCCAACATTGTGTATGTGCATAATCACTTTTAACCCGATTAGGGATGCAAACTTTTGTTCTTCATTTGTATAGTATACATGATGTCTCGTCTTTGCAGAGATGAATTTTGGGACTTGTATAAGAGCTATTTTCACCCGCGACTACTACAAGGTGATCTTCGTATATGTCTCTATGGTCCAGTACCGGGCACTTCTGAGGCCACCGAAGAAACTAATGACAACTGAGTATCCTCTTCTTGGGTTACTGCATCTCAAGAGCTGAGTGGGTTGTGCAGTGACGTTGTTTGGCTAAATGCTGCAATGGTGGATCATTTATCTCTGCCAATGCTTCCTGGAGATGAATGCAGGATTGTACCTCATATCGTGTAATGTCTTATAGGACTTTTAGGCAGGGGAGAGCAGAAAGTTATTTTTTGGGTGGGCTCTTTAATTACAANATGAATGCAGGATTGTACCTCATATCGTGTAATGTCTTATAGGACTTTTAGGCAGGGGAGAGCAGAAAGTTATTTTTTGGGTGGGCTCTTTAATTACAAAATTTGTTTTTTGTTTTTCCTCCAAACTTATAAAACTAAGACGGTACATTGATATTTAGTTCATGATATTTTTTATCATATAAAAACAATGTCTAGTCGCAATTATTTGCATTTTATATTTATTTTCATTATTTTCAAAGCGGTATTTGATAATTTCATACCAATTTCAATGAAAACTTGTGTTTAGCCAATCAATTTCAAAGTTATTTAATGATCATTAATTGAGTTATGCAATCGACNCAATTTCAATGAAAACTTGTGTTTAGCCAATCAATTTCAAAGTTATTTAATGATCATTAATTGAGTTATGCAATCGATGTTTTCTAATTTTTAGTTCTATAATTTATTGAAAATAAAAAGTCAAGTAGTAAGTATGGTAATATCATTGAAAGTTGGTGAAATATCGTAAACACAATAATTAATAATTGAATAATAATGAGAGTCAACCTAAGGTCATTTGCAATCAATTTTACGTTTGAATTGGATAGTGAAAAAATCATAAATACTACTTACCTTTAAAGAAAAAATTATAAATATTGAAATGAAGGCTAGGGGAAGCAAACTTGTAACACGATAAAAAAAAAAAAAAGAAATGATTAAATACGTAATTACACAGGTTAATTGTAGTCCATATTCTTTGAAAATCACTATTGAGGAAAGAAAATGATGAGGTGAATATAATAAAACATTTTTGAATTTTGACTAATGTGTAACCTTGGTTTACATGTAAAATAAATTTGGATGGGCTAGAAATCCAATGGTCCATTTGATTTAGGTCTAACCTTGAAGTTTTGAACAATGAAGGGTCGTTTGGTTCGTGGGATTGGGCTCACAGATTTCATGTTTGACAAAAATTATTTTCTATAGGAGTTAGAATCTGGAACCCATGGAACCCATAATCATCCTTGCAAATTAACCCCATTTACGCGGGGGTAAATGAATTCTACCTAGGGGTTGGTATTGAAATGGTTGCATTGGGATTTGAATCAAAATTACTAATTTGTCGTTACATCAAATCATAAACTTCATTGAATGGAGGACAATATTGTCAAAAGAACATCTAATTCAATGTTACATATCGGAACACACATAATTTTTCTACTCTTATCTAACTATTTCCAAACACAAGATACGGTAAAAATATATCATTCATATCAAAACTTATCCCCGAAACCCGATTGCATCAGCTTGGATTGGTTTTACCAAACCAATTCAATCATAAATAGTGGAACTTACCAAATGCTCCCGAAAGATATCAAAGCTTTTAGCTATCCTATTACAAGACGTTAGTGTTGAGCATATAATATTGCATAGGGAGAATTACACCTACACTTCTTGAAATTTGTCACTTAATCACTCACATCTTCTAATATTTAAAATATTACACACAGACCCCTTAAAATTTGTACATGCGTAACACTTAAACCCCCTACCATCAAATATCCGTTAAAAAATTACGTCAAGACCCTCCGAAGCTTGTAAGTTTATAATATTTAGATCACTCAAGTTTAAAATATTATATTTAGACTAAAAATACTCCAATCAAAGATAGAATATTAAATATTTTAAAATTTAAAACCAAAATTTATGTTATATTGTATAATTTATTGATATAAAATTAAAAATAAAAAGCCATTTTTTCCTTTAAAAATCTTAATTAGTATACAATTATACTATTTATTGGAATAAAACTAAAAAATCAAACCAGGGGTCTAAGTCATTCATAATAAAACATAAATTTTACAACCAAAATTCATGTTCTATTATGTCATTTATTGAAATAAAATCAAAAATAAAAATCTAATTTTGCTTAAAAAATCATAATTAGTATACAATTATACTGTCTATTGGAATAAAATTAAAAAATAAAATAAGAGGTCAAACTGTAATAGACACAATATATGCTAGTTTTAATTGGGGTAATTTAATTGTTTAATTTGGTCGTTTAAATGATCAAAATAAATTTCAATAGATAGTATAATTTTATACTAATTATTTTTTTAAAATAGATTTTTTTAAAATTTATTTCAATATGATTTAACCCTGCACTTTTCGCAATTGTTTGATGTTTATCTTTACCAATTGTGTTGGAATTTTGATTAGTGTGTAAATTTGTGTTTGTAGGTGCAAAGGGGAGAAGAAAAAATGCTTTGGATTCAATATAAATGTCATGGGCATGGGAAAGAAGTGGAGTTGAACTAGAGGAGCAAAAATACAAAATCAGGAGAAGACGCTGATGTACTGGTACAACTTGTACAAGTTCATCAGGCTGCAGAAATGGTTTATACCAATTCATCATCCATGTATCGGTTCATTGGGGCCTAGAGACTGTTGTACTGGTTCATACATCTTTGTATTGGTACAAGCCTCAATAGAANAATTCACACTCTTCTGATGCTTGGGAAACGCATTACATACATTCTAGAGATACAAACACAATTCAAGGAAAGAAATAAAACCATTCTAGGAAGTCCAACATTTTTGATAAGCAAGAATTTTTTGACGCCGTTGCTAGTGACCAACGATTCAATTTGAAGGTGATTCGGATTGATGACAAGTGAGTTTTGTGATTTTTATGCAAGCCTAGGTACTTTTTTCAGTTGTGTGTGTGTGTGTGTATATATATATATATATATCTATGTTAGTAGTAGATTTGCTTTTGTAGGATTTTAGTTATTGTATGTGGGCACGTGAAAACACAAATATAATAGTTAGACAAGACCAAAGATCACACATAAACATGGATGCTGTAAATGACAACGATGAGAAAAATCCAAGACGAGATCAAAATAATTTTCAAGTTGTTCCCCCTGTGAGAATACTGATAGAATATTTCCAACCAACTAGAACATCTGTACCGTTTTGCATTCTTTTACCAGTCCAAGCACATGTATTTGTTGTTAAATCGAGAATGCTCAAATTATTGCCATAATTCCATGGTGTGGATAGGAAAAACCCTTCTTTTCACATCAAGGAATTCAATGAGGTAGTTGGAACATTGCTTCACCAAAAATGTGCATAGGGAAATTGCTAAAATGAAATTATTTCTCTTTCTCTTAAGGATAAAGTGAAATCTTGGCTAAACTCTTTGAAACTCTGGTCAATTGGATCATGGTCTAATATGAAAAAAAAAAATTAAAAGAATTTTTTTCCAGTCCATAGGACTATTGCTTTGAAAAAACAAATCCAAAATTTTTCGAAAAAAGAAAATGAACAATTCTATGAGTGCTGGAAAAGATTCAAGGATATTTTAAACTCCATTCCACATCATGGATTTGAGCCTTGGCAATTGGTTAGTTTCTTCTGTGAAAGAATCACCCCTGCCTATCGTCAGTTTATTGACATGATGTGTAATGCCGAATTTTTGAATAAGGATCTAGAGGAAGCCTTAGATTACTTTGATAATTTGGTAGAAAATGCCCAATCTTGGGACATTTCTAATCTTACCAAGAGATCAAGGTCATCTACTACATCCCAATCTAATGGGAGTGAAAAATATGTTTTGCACGATCAAGATGAGCATGCCAAGATAGCAAAATCATCCTGCAAACTAGAAAGTTTGGAAGTGCAGAAAGTAAATGAGGTAAACAGTGTGTCAAAAGTTAATGAGCCATGTTTTATTTGTGATACAATTGAGCATTCTACGAGGGAATGCCTAACCATTCCAGTCTTTAAAGAAGTGCTATATGAATAAGTCAATGCATTTAATCAACCTAAGAAATAATTTTCTCCATATTCTAACACATAATCCTGGATCGCGGAATCATCCTAATTTTAGTTGAAGAAATGATAACATTGTTGCACCTTATGCATTAGTGTCATATGCCCCGCCTGTCCAACAAAATCAAAATTTTTCTGTCGAGGTCTGTCAACTAGTTCTCACTATCATATGAGTTCAAGTCCCCTTCCCCNTCAAACTGTAATAGACACAATATATGCTAGTTTTAATTGGGGTAATTTAATTGTTTAATTTGGTCGTTTAAATGATCAAAATAAATTTCAATAGATAGTATAATTTTATACTAATTATTTTTTTAAAATAGATTTTTTTAAAATTTATTTCAATATGATTTAACCCTGCACTTTTCGCAATTGTTTGATGTTTATCTTTACCAATTGTGTTGGAATTTTGATTAGTGTGTAAATTTGTGTTTGTAGGTGCAAAGGGGAGAAGAAAAAATGCTTTGGATTCAATATAAATGTCATGGGCATGGGAAAGAAGTGGAGTTGAACTAGAGGAGCAAAAATACAAAATCAGGAGAAGACGCTGATGTACTGGTACAACTTGTACAAGTTCATCAGGCTGCAGAAATGGTTTATACCAATTCATCATCCATGTATCGGTTCATTGGGGCCTAGAGACTGTTGTACTGGTTCATACATCTTTGTATTGGTACAAGCCTCAATAGAATGCTTCGAATCAGTTCATCCTTACCCTTGTACGGATTTTTCGGATTGCAAACATGGTGCATATGTCCTAAACCTCATTCGGTTGGCATGGGATCATTCTTATTCACTCACATACTCAAGGGGGGTGACTCCTAATAGCTTGGCAACTCATTTGATTGGTTGATGTAGTCTTTCAAAACTTCACGTGAGGAACCCGATTGGACGACACTGGAGGTGGAAGTTTCTTCAGCAAAGCATCCACCACCCACACCTCACAACTTAGTCAATGAGGAGGAAAAA